CTTTGAGCAGTGAGACAACGATAGCGTTCCTGATGGCCCTTTGTTTGGTACGGAATTCCTTGTTCCTCACCTGACAGGATTTGGGAAGCGAGACAGCCCACCCTACCGTGAGCTATGGTGACCTTCCTGGCCACTTCTTGGCTAGTCCAACGACAAACAAGACAACGGGCAGCAAACTAGGACTCTGACAACACACACACACAATCAGAACACCAAACATAAACTCAGTCAGCATGAATAACATGATCAACATAATGACAGGAGAGACACCACACACAATGACCTCACCATGCCACACCAAAGAGAAGCACTGCGCATCCAGCAGTAGCCCAACCCAGTGGTCCCATCAGTGTCGGGCCAGTTGTCTGACCCTGCTGCGCCCACCAAACATAACATTTGACAACACACCCAATGACAATGACGATGACAGACAGCAAACAAAGAGACAATGACAAAGCCAAACATAACCACAAATACCACAACACATGCAATACTTGACAACACACCAGGACACAACCAGCAACAAACATACTGATCATACTCTAATGACAGCACCAAACGGAACCACAACACACTGTGGCCCAGGGATGCCTCGACAGTCAAGCACCCTGGCCAATTTATCTTACCTACTCGTATGTACCTAGGCGGGTGGGAGTAGCTCGAAGTAAAGCAATTTATGCATAAATTTGCCCACTCTGTTCTTGCTGTAGCTGTAGCTGGGTGACACAGGTCACTGATGACTTCAAAACGCTTTCCCCGCTGATTCTGAGCTTTGAGCAGCGAAACAATGATAGCTTTTGTGATTGCCAATTTTTGCTGAGTGTGGGACTGTGGACTGTACGAAATTCCTGGCTCTTGCTGCACTTTTACATGACTGTCTGGTAGTACGTTAGATGAAAATGGTCGCTGATGAATACAAAGGCTTTCCCCGCTGATTCTGAGCTTTGAGCAGTGAGACAACGATAGCGTTCCTGATAGCCTGTTTTTGTTGTGTGAGTTTGGATGTTTGTTTAGTGCAGCAGCTATTGAAGAGTATTCCGCTGACCTCCGCTGACATGTTGAAGAGGCAAATATTGTTGTTGTTGTTATTATTGTTGTTGTTTTTGTTGTTGTTGTTGTTGTTGGTAGACACAAAACCAGCCGCCCGACACAATTGTCACATGAATGTTGTAACTTTGGAACTTCAAGGGGACAAGGTTAGGGATACGGTTGAAGGTTTGAGCAAATATTGGTTTCGTAAGTAGGTGGACTTGTTGGACTTGTTTCACTGAAGTCTGGGCTGGTCCGGTTTTTAGTGTTTTTGAGGTGTTGTTCTGGAGGGGGTGTCCTAAAAACAACAAAGGGGCTGCATGCAGTCTTTGTTTCTAGGAGAGGGCAGAGACAACAACACCATTTTGAGGGGGATCCAAAAAAACAACAACGGGGTAGAGGTTCTAAGTAGAAGCTTTGCAGAGGCTTGGCTGACCGGTTGCTACTAGTACTACTACTACTACTACTACTACTACTACTACTAGTACTACTACTACTACCACCACCACTACTACTACTACTACTACCACCACCGTTACTACTACTACTATTATTACTACTACTACTACGACTACTACTACTACTGCTACTACTACGACTACGACTACGACTACAACTACGACCACGACCACGACTACGACTACGACTACCACTACCACTACCACTACCACTGCTACTACTACTACTACCACTACCACTACCGCTACCACTACCACTACTACTACTACTACTACTACTTCTACTACTACTACTACTACTACTACTACTACGGCTACGGCTACGGCTACGGCTACGGCTACGGCTACGGCTACGACTACGACTACGACTACGACTACGACGACTATTACGACGACGACTTCTATTCTTACTACGACTACGACTACCACTACTACTACTACCACTACTACTACTAGTACTACTACTACTACCGCCACCACTACTATTACTACCACTACCACTACCACTACCACTGCTACTACTACTACTACTACTACTACTACTACTACCACTACCACTACCACTACCACTACCACTACCACTACCACTACCACTACTACCACCACTACTACTACTACTACTACGACTACTACGACTACTACGACTACTACGACTACTACGGCTGCGACTACGACTACGACTACGACCACGAGAACGACTACTACTAGTACTAGTACCACTAGTACTAGCACTTTAAACATTACCAGTGCTGGTAAAAAGTTCTTGTTGGCCTTTTGTTTTCCGGGGGGGCTCAGAAAACAACGAGGGGGCTGCAGTTTTTGTTTCCACCCCCTTGTAGAGAAAGGAAGAAAATATGTTGTAACGGGCTGCAGGATTTGTTTGTTTGTACCTTGATGTTGTTGTTGTTGTTGTTGTTGTTGTTGGTGGTGCTCTTCTTCATTTGCTGTTGGATATTCGAAAAAGCATGCAGCATATATGCCTGGCTAATCTAAGTTGGCAAGCAACGGCACTTCAGTGAGCTGACCCAGGTTGTGCGGCAATTGAGACGGGGCCGCAGGGACCCTGAGCAAACACTTTGTTGACAGACATGAACTGTACTTTATGAACGAGTCAACATGGCCCATGGCCCTGAGCACGGCACTAGGCGCCAATAAACAAAGCATGCCGAAGTCGCACATTCAGTTTGCTTTCAACATGTTTTGATGTATACTTCTTGTGTTTTGGTACTTTTCTGCTGCTAGGTTCCGTCTAGAGTCCAGTGGATTGAGAAAGCCCCAAGAGGCACCATGTGGAGCTCGCACTTGCTAGGCGCTTTTTAGATCTGGGTTGTGCTCCCGGCGGCTTTGCCGCTTGCCTCTTGCAGGCGGGACTGATTCCACTTAGAAAGTGGATCACTATAGAAGTCGAGAGAGCTACAGCTACATTTTTAGGGCCGTATAATTTCGAAGTTCGACCTCACACAAGCTACTGTATATAATCCGCTTAAGAAGGGTTGTGAACTTAGAATGCGTCCCATATCTGCGGATTTTGTTGACTGCCAGAGAAGCATGTTCGATAGCCATAAACAGCCCAATAGGTAAGACAGCAAGAGGGAACGTTGTACGTAAGGGGAATATGAAAGGATACCTGTTGAGAAGCAGAAAGGGAAAGGCAAAGGCGAAGGCGATGGCAACGAAAAGGAAAGGACAAGTGCAAAAGCAAAGAGAACAGGTCACGGAAAGGGAAGCGCAAGGAGAGGAAAGTCAATTCAAGGCAAGGCAAACTGGCAAGGAAACGAACTATACAAGGCCACAACCGGACATTTGCCTGCTATTTCACAGGAAGAGCTCAGAGCTTGAACTAGTGGAACGTGAGAATTGGCATGAATCAGCACTAGCAGCTAGCAAGAGTGTTTGCAGCTGACTCTGCAGGATCACATCCTAGGGCCCGTGAGTGTTGGCTATGGCGTTTTGGCCCTAGATATCGCTCCAATCATAAAGATTCGAAGGATTCGGTCCGATTGAATTTCGAAGAGAGGCCAATTCTTCTTCAAAGAATGCGGCCAAGGTCTCACTGCCCCCTCAGTTGGGAGGCTTTCAGATGGCCATCACCTCCTCAAGACTGTATGTACAGCCCGAGCTTCAGCCAGCGAAGTAGCATGATACAGACTCTACTCTACTCATACAATCACACTCAAAACCCAATGATGGTCAATATTGTGCTTTGTGTGCCTTTAACCTTTACGTCTGCTTGCAAAGTCTGTTTCGGCCACCTCAGCATGCTTCAGATAGTTCTATGAGTTCTATGGTGTTTCTTAGGTTTCAAGATCTGCTTCAGATTAACAGTTGCGAGTTGGCACCAAGCTGAGTGAAATCACCGAACGCAGATGACTACTTGAGTTCAATACCTTGTTTCTGTCTTAGAGCCCTCTAAAAGCTATTCCACTAAGATGTGCATCGACGACTCCATTGACATTTGTGTGGCGGATGCACAGTGCCCCTGCAGTGATCCTTTAAAGAACAAGTCACGTGACTTCTGCTTCTAGACAACGTATTCAACGTTTATATACTGTATATGTAGTAAAGTAAATACTGCAATATTGTGGAGTTCAAGTGGAGGAATAGGCGAAGCGGAAGCGGCTTTCTGTTTTGGCTTCGTTCCAATATAGGTCGGTCACACACGATTTACTCCATGTTGTACTTCGCCAGCCCTGTAGGTATCTCTCCAACATGTTCAAACCGCAACATCAGGCTTCCAAGGAAACGGACTTTGTGTCCATAGCAAGCACTGGAATTGGATGCCTTTGGAATCACTAAAGTTGGTCACGCAATGCAGAAGGCCTGTTGTTCTTTTGCCTTGTGCAGTATCGGGGCATGAAGACGCGAAGCCGAACGCTGGGCATTTGGGCCTGCTGCCCTAGCAACTGGCAAGATGTTTCTTGAATATTGAATAATGTACGACAATTAAATAATTACTGTATTGTGCAAGATTTGCTTTTGGAGTTCGCTTCCCAAGGCATTGACTGTCAAGGAGTGCCAGATTGCCTTTGCAAAACTCAGGCTCCACAGCATGCCGACTCGCAAGGTAGTTGCGGACCTCGGTTCAACCATCACTGGCGCTCTTCACGGTTAATAAAGGTAAACTTTCAAGCAATTTATAGGGCTGGTCTTCGGATGATTTGACAAGATTTTATTAATTCATAGAATAATCGCGCTTTGTAAGAGATTACGAAAGCCTGCCGATAGGCTAGGCTGAAGTTAGTTGATGATTTTTGGTGGGTTGGTGATGCAGAAGATGAAAGGTGACTAGGTGACTAGGTATTGCAGCAAACTAGCACAATCACCACACTATATTTATATAGTACATATATATATATATATATATTATTTGGTATATAGTAGACAAAGTGCACCCTTTAGGTTAAGTCACCTGCTGGTTCCTTCTGGCTTTCGTTTCCCTCTTCTCAGGTATTATTGGACACAATGTTCGAAACCTGAAGAACACATAGAATACCTAGGTTCTTAGAGCAAAGGAGCAAAGGGGTAGTCGACTGCACCATGGCCCCTGCACACTGTGTCTCCTGCTCGCCTTTCCAGGCAGTCTGGAAGTTTTATTTTCCGTTTTGGCTGGCGTGGTGTTGGCTCAGCTGCAGGGACCCAAGCAAGAAGCTGCACGAGTCTGACTGTTGCAACTTGCGGTCGCTTGTTGGCTCAACACTGCCATCGAAAATGAGGATGTGCACCCGTCTGGGGAGCCGGCGCCGGCCTGAGCAAACAAACGCGGCAGTATTCTGAGCTGGGTCAGATTGTCGAGCTCCCTTCTCAGTGCAAAGTATATGGATTTTACGCCATGTATCTATATAGTCTAAAGATGTCCAAAGTGTATTGAAGTTTCAGCTGTGACGGTCAAAATACTTTGTCCATCCAGTGGTCCTGTCCTCTCTTGTCAGCGTTGCCACATTTGCTTCATTGTGTACGGCATCAAGTGCATTCGACTCCGTCCCAGCTGAGGTGCACCCTAGCCTCTTAGCCAAATACCTGCAGGCTGTTGGGCTTTCTTGAAGGCTGCTTTCTTGAAGGCTGTAATGTAAAGTAGTCAGACAGAAGGGATAAAGTCGAGTTCCGCAACTGCGCAGGATTCCGCAACTAGGATTCCGCAACTGTTTGGTCGGATTCCGCAACTGGGATTCCGCAACTAGGATTCCGAAACTAGGATTCCGCAACTAGGATTCCGCAACTAGGATTCCGCAACTAGGATTTCGCAACTAGGATTCCGAAACTAGGATTCCGCAACTGTCAAGATTCCGCAACTAGGATTCTGCAACTGGGATTCCGCAACTGGCGTTCCGCAACTAGGATTCCGCAACATTGTGGACTCCCTCACTAGGATTCCGCAACTTTGTGAATGATGAGGGGGTTGGCGTGATGTCGAGATCACACGATGGGGACAAGGGGGGGTTGGGGGGTGGGGGGGTTGGGTGGGGGGCTAATGACGTTGGTTTGGATGTGCTTCGAAGGTGATGTCACAGGCACACACGCTGTCGCATGATGTGGAGATCACCAGTTGCAAGTTTCAGAAGGCAAGTTGCAGAATCTGACTTTCCGGCTTCAGAATACCAGTTGCAGAATCTGACTTTCCAGTTTCAGAATACAAGTTTCAGAATCCCAGTTTCAGAATCCTAGTTTCAGAACCCCAGTTTCAGAATCCTAGTTTCAGAACCCCAGTTTCAGAATACCAGTTTCAGAATCCAAGTTTCAGAACCCTAGTTTCAGAACCCCAGTTTCAGAACCCTAGTTTCAGAATCCGACCGATTAGTTTCCGAATCCGGCTCTAACCACAGAAGAATCCTGCAGCATCGGTGTGGACACCATCCATTTGCACCATCATTATTAATATTTACAGCCTTCGGCATGCCGCCGGCCACCAGCTCGAGCCCGCATTGGCAGGCAGCTTAATGATACAATACCCTGCTCAATCATACTTGTTGGTGCATTGGAGTTGCACATTTGGCTGGGTGAGTTTGTTGATGTTTTATTTCAAGGTTGTTTGACCATGAAAAATAAACGAATCCGAATCAGAGGTTGTCTATTCTGATCCAGCGATCCGAACCGGCGTGTCTCAGTCGAATCACCTAAGAGGAACCAATTGAAACCAACACAAGCAATGCGAACCAAGACTATCCACAAAACATGACCTTGAAAACGATTCTTCTTCCAAACTACTTGGCCGTTTGCATGTTTTCCTTTTCAGATCTTTTTTTCGACCGTCTCGAGGGATTGCGACACGCACCAGATATTCTTTTTCACACACAGAAGGCTTCAAAGCGACCGAAGAATTTCTAGATCTGGCATGATTTGTCGTTTTTTTCTCCAAACCGTTTGAAATGAAAGACCCAGAATGACATCGAACAACAATACCCTGCTCAATCAGACTTGTGGGTGCATTGGAGTTGCACATTTTGCTGGGAGAGTTTGTTGCTGTTGATTTCAGAGGTTGTCTATTCTGATCCAGCGACCTACTACCTACTACGTACTACCTACGACCTACTCGACCTACTACCTACTACCTACTAGCTACTAGCTACTACCTACTACCTACCCTACTACCTACTACCTACTACCTACTACCTACTACCTACTACCTAC